GAAACCAAACATTTGCTCAAACAAGACTTCCTACACATCTAAAACCTACAAACAGCAAATTATTGAATTCTAGATACTTAACCAAACATTTTCAAACCAAAAGGAGTATATATGTTAACAAAACTTGCATTTGACTTACCAATTAACAATGGACACTTTCATAACGCGGATGCAGGTAGGCAGCGTCTCGAATATATTGCTCTAGCCATATAATGCCGAAACCACAAGCCTACTGCAGCTTTATCTCTATCGGTGGGAGGTAAAAACTCTGTGCTTCCCGTCGTCAAACGCGCCAAGCAAAGGCATACGAGAGGACCACAATCCCCTCTGGCTCCCGGCGATTGCTGTGGCGCGGTCTCGTCTCTGACAACTGTGACATTGAACTTCTTTGGCTTCTTGTGTCCAGAATGACTCCAATACTTAATCCCATCCAAGAATTTAGCCAAATGAGAGCTCCATCCCTTGAAAATATCTCTCAAATCAGACAGTGATATGTAATTGATCATGCTGTCATACACTATTATCTTCAGGGATGGGAGCTGAAGTTAGACGAGAAGCCAGTGATGACGTTCCAAAACAGGGATAAACACCTGCGATCATAAGTAATAATTCATTTATTTGCGCACTTATTTATTAACACCTTTAAAAAATTTAAAAAATAAACACTAACCTTATCGACCTCCCACCATGCAGGATAAAGTTTAGCTTGTCCATTGCCCAACAAAAATGATTCATCTCGTTGATTCTTCAAGTGAACTGCGTGAAAAGCCGTCGGCATTATTGTATATAGCGAATTTTTTTTATTTTTCCTAAGCTTCCTTATTATTAGTAGACGTGACACCCACGCATCGATATGCTGTTTTACAAAAAAAATACATATATTAGTGAATTACATTAATTTTAAACAAATTAATCAAAATCATATATAAGACAAATATAGTCTTACCTCCCCATCCAAATAGCCACTGTCTTCAACCCCTAATAGCACACCCCACCAAGACCGATCAAGCAACAAAAAGCTGATGTCAGTGTAACACCCTTGGCTCCGCTCATGTAGATAAAAATCAATTGCGGTCTTAGCCCAAAGGGTATTATCCACAATTGTTTCCGGTAGTTGCCTCATCTCCACTTCAGATACCGGAAGGGTACTAGCCGGTAACTCATACGAGAGCCAACTCTCATCCATCATGTCCGGAACCGGTGGGGGTTTCTCAATACTTCGATATATTACCCCATGTGAATCGGGCTCTAGAATGGTGGGAGGGACCTCTTCAACGATGACAGTGGCCTCTTGAATGGTGGGGGGGAATCTTGAGTGAGAATAGGGGCCTTTTGAACGATTGGAGGGGACTCTTGAGGGATGACCGGTGAGTCGGGCTTCTTCTTGCGGAGTCTTCGCACCATTGGGGTGAACGGAGACGTAATAGCACGTCCACGCCGTCTGATGCGTGAACTCCGTCGTGCAAGGAAAACCCGACGTAAAGCATCCACCTTATCGGGCCGCTAAAAAAATTAATACATAAATCAGTAAATAAACAGACATGATATTAAACAAAGACAAATATGTTTCAAACTAGCATTGTATTCACCCAAATCATTATTCTATCATAGTTCACAAAATGCTCAGATAACATTCCAGAAGTAAGCACTTATATAAACATTTAAAAGGACAACATATATAAACATTCCAGAAGAAGAATAGTTTACTTTCGCAACACGAAACTTAAAATCGCAACGCGAAATGACTATCGCAACGCGGAAATGGCTATCGCAATGCGAAATGAAAATCGCAACGACAAAATCGCAACACGAAATGAAATTGCAACGACAAAATCGCAACGCGAAACACAAATCGCATTGCGATTTTCATTTCGCGTTGCGATTTTGTCGTTGCGATTTCATTTCGCGTTGCGATTTTGTCGTTGCGATTTTCATTTCGCATTGCGATAGCCATTTCCGCGTTGCGATAGTCATTTCGTGTTGCGAAAGTAAACTATTCTTCTTCTGCAAATTGAAACTTGAATGGATTGCATTACTTCAACCAAAAGACAAAAACAAAACCAAAAACAAATACTAACAAAAACAGATTGGCAGCAACCGAATGAATTACGAGTATGAAAAATCTTAAACTTACCTCGTTGCGTAGAGTATGAACTTCATTCTGTAAACGATGTTACCATCTCACGTAGAGCGGCTACCTCACCGCGTAATGTAGACACCTCAACACGCCATGCACCATCGTCTTTGCGTAAAGTACCGACCTCCTCACGCAAGGCATTGACCTCATCACGTAACTCCCCTAACTCATCCCGTTGAGGTGGAGGTGGAGAACAGGGAGATAAACGTTGTGGCATCTTTGCCGGTCGCCTATCTTGCGGTGATGGTGGAGAAGAGGCTCGATGATGTGACAGAATAGGTGATGGCTGTCGTTGTGGAGGTGTATAGCCGGGTCGATCAGATGATGGCTCTAGGTGGGGTGATAGCTCTGGGCGAGGTGATGGCTCCCGAAGTGGAGGCTGCTCATCAACCGTTCCATCAAAAAAAACGCTTACTAGCTTGCTACCAATCAGTGGCAAGCTCAGCTTCCGTGGGTGTCAGCCTCTGTAGAGGAGTGTTGGCCTCCTAACAATATAAAAGCTCAAACAAAGTTAAATGTGTACTAGTAATAACTTGTTTATAAACATATGGTAGTATTTATGTTAACTTACATTATTTATTGTCGTATACCGTAGTAAATCTTCCCATTGCAAGGTTCGTTTCCTCTTCCAGGAAATAGCCCTGGGAATATTATTTGAAGTTTTTATTGCATATGTCTTCATGGCGGGAAAGGCCTCAAATATCCAAATCTACAAACAATATAATAACAAACATTAGTAATTGTTAAATAATTACTTATAATTTTGGAAACATTATATAAAAATTCTTACCTTAAAGGCCCAAATAAAGCCTGTCAAAGTGTATTTGGAACCATCGCCATGCAAACTTTTTCGATCATCCAAGGCAGACGATAACTTATTCCATGTAGCTTTCCATAAATACGAGCCCCACGGAAACAGGTTCCACGCATTTAGGTCTTCTACCAATTTGATTAGATCATTTGGAATAGGTTGTCTGGCCTCTCTGCCTAAAAAGCCGGCATGCAAAAGAATTAGAAGGCATACTCGGACAACGTCGACGTCATCCATCCGAGTAAAACCATCTTTATTATTCAAAAATCTTGTCAGGTCTTCTACGTGTAGACTCGGCCTCTCCAGCTCAGGAAAAACCCGGGATAGCCATGATGGGGGGTAATGTGTCTAGTGTACCGACCTACATCATCGTGTCCGAAGCGTAGACCGGTGATTAAGCAAAACTCCTCCCGCCCAAAACACGTATACGCCGGTGGAAAATTAAACCATATCTCTTCATCACGACGTTGTATAGTCTCTGGTAGATCTCTAGTCATGGTTTGAAGAAACAGGTGTGTCAACATCGCATCTCCACCGGGATGTTGTACTTTCAGCCATGGCCCGAAGCATGTATCCTCAAACATTTTTCTTTGTGCAGGTGAAAGCTTCGACGCAATTGTTTTGGCCAGGCTGACTTTATTTCTCAAGGTCAATTGAGCCAAATAAAAGTTCTACAAAAACAATAAACATACTAAATTAGATATATCAAAAACTACACTGTGAAGATATACCAAAAACAATAATAAACATAAATAGTAGTAGTTATTCTTCAAACTTAAATATGCAACACTGTGAATTTCGTATTTGTCTTTGTTTTTGGTTGAAGTAATGCAATTCATTTAAGTTTCAATTTGCAGAAGAAGAATAGTTTCTGAAAATGAAAATCGCAACACGAAAATGACTATCGCAACGAGAGAATCGCAACGCGAAACTAAAATCGCGTTGCGATTTGCATTTCGCGTTACGATTCTTGGTTGATTTAATAAGCAATCTAAGTGAAATGGTTAATCTATTATTGAAATTACCAGTAAACTTATCATCAATTTCAATATGAAAAACCTAATAATAATGCAAAAATTTCAAAAAGAAAATAATTAAAAAAACTAACCCTCGTTGGTTGATTTGGTTGATTTTCCATTTCTGGTTGTGAGGGTGGCTCTGAGAGATTTAGATAGACGGATTTCGCCGGAGATGGGGACGGATTTCGTCAGAGATGGGTGAGAGAGTGAGAGATGGAGATGGGACTGAGTTGTGATTTTAGGTTTTAGGTTATGAGTTGCGATTACGGGATATACTGTGGACAGTTCAGTGTTCCAATATATTAATATTCATGTTTGGAATTTAAAAATAAAATACTTGGCCAGGATACTAATGGCGCTTTGAAAATCGCATTGCGATTATGTAAATCGCGTTGCGAAAGTCAGTATCGCGTTGCGAAAGTAAGTATCTCGTTGCGATTTTGTATTATCGCATTGCGATAGTAAGTATCGCATTGCGATTTTCCCAATTCGCGTTGCGATTTACTTATTCGCATTGCGATTTTCCCAATTCACGTTGCGATTTACTTATTCGCATTGCGAATTGGGAAAATCGCAACGATACTGTAGACCATCGCAACGCGATTTTCAACTATCGCATTGCGAAAATACAACGCGAATTTGCGATAATGGAGATCGCGTTGCGAATTAGCGATCGCATTGCGATTTTGTTGGTCATTTTGGTAAATCCAAAAAAAATTAGTTAAAATCGTATATTATATGGCATTTTTGGTCACTGAGGTTATTTTCTCTTTTGAAAATCAGTTTCCCCCACCCCCACCCCCAAGAAAAACAGTTTCCTAAAATAGAAGTGAGATCTGATTAGTACGTGAGAAGGGTAATTTTGTCAAAAGAAACAAGATAAGGGGTAGTTCGTCACATGACATAATATGTGGAGCCGACCATTTGGTTAGGTGAGATCGACTCGGCTCCCTGTCCCCTCTGGCAATTAACGCCACCCTGTACACAGCTGTCATCCACCCCTTTGAAATATTTAATCTGAAATCCTTTTTCCCCCAAGTCCCAAACCTTTAATCGAAATTCCCATAGGTTTTGTATTTTCTTCTTCTCGAGTAAAATTTCGGAGATTTTGAAAAGCTGAACAGAACAACAATGGCGAAACAAACATGAACGTACCCACATTCTTCGGTTCAAGTTTAAACGGTTTACTCTGAGTGTTTTCTTTTTGAAGAGAAAGGGCAAGTGCAAAAGAGGGAAAAAGCAATGGACCCTTGCCCTTTCGTGCGAATTACTGTTGGCAATCTAGCTCTGAAGATTCCGGTTGCGTCTAAGTCGGCGCGGTCCGTCGTTCACCCTTCGTCATCGCCTTGTTTTGTCAAGATTAAGCTTAAGAATTTCCCTCTTCAAACCGCCGTCGTTCCCTACATTCCGCCGGAAAATCAGTTCCCCGAGAACCAGTTGCAAAACCAAGCTGTTACATTCCACCTCAGCAAAGCCGACATCGACAAACTCGCGGCGAAGTCGATATTTTCCGCCAAGCCTTCCCTCAAAATCGCTATCTACACTGGCCGGGGTGGGAGTACTTGCGGGCTTAACTCGGGTCGTCTGTTGGGGAAAGTGTCGTTGCCGTTGGATCTGGCGGGAACTGAATCCAGGGCTTGCGTTTTCCACAATGGGTGGATTTCGGTTGGGAAAGAAGCTAACAAAGGATCAACAGCTCAGCTTCACTTGATTGTTAAAGCGGAACCTGACCCGAGATTCGTTTTTCAGTTCGACGGCGAACCGGAATGCAGCCCTCAAGTGTTCCTGATCCGAGGAAATATTCAACAACCGGTTTTCACTTGTAAGTTCAGTTTTAGAAATACCGGCGACCGGAATCAGCGATCCAGGTCAATTTTTCATAAATTGCATTATGCCTTTGATTGAATACTATTCATGAGAATGAATTTTTCACTATGTAAAGTTAGTTTGAAACTTGGGATTGATATATTTTTGTTAAAATCCGACAGGTCTTTACAGTCGGAGCCAAGTAGCTCTCGCAGTTGGCTAGGTACGTTTGGGAGCGTAAGGGAAAGGTCAGGGAAGGAACGAAAAGGTTGGTCAATAACGGTCCACGACTTATCCGGTTCACCAGTCGCCGCCGCTTCGATGGTTACACCATTCGTGGCTTCACCAGGTTCGGACCGAGTCAGTCGTTCTAATCCCGGTTCATGGCTTATTCTCCGTCCGGGAGATGGAACCTGGAAACCTTGGGGCCGTCTCGAGGCGTGGCGCGAGCGTGGCTCCTCCGATGGACTCGGTTACCGTTTCGAACTCATTCCAAATATGAGCGACGCGGCAATTGTTTTAGCCGAGTCGACACTGAGTTCGAGTAAAGGCGGGAAGTTCGTGATTGACCTCAGCAGCGGCGGAAACAATAACAACAGCAGTGAAAACGGGCGGGGCACGCCGGGGAGTGCAACATCGCCGGCGTGTAGTCCTGGGAGTAGCGGGGATTTCGGATACGGACTCTGGCCGTATTGCGTGTACAGAGGGTTCGTAATGTCGGCTGGCGTGGAAGGGGAAGGGAAGTGCAGCAAGCCTTGCGTGGAGGTGAGTGTGCAGCACGTGAACTGTACGGAGGATGCAGCGGCTTTCGTGGCTTTAGGTGCCGCCATTGATTTGAGCATGGATGCTTGTAGGCTTTTCACTCAAAGGCTGAGGAAAGAGCTGTGTAGTCCCCAGGATTTTCTCACCTGATTTTCTTTTTCGTTTTTGTTCCTGAGTGGATGAGTTTTAGGTTCCATGCTGGAAAGCTTACTGCGAACAAAAGCTCTGTACAGCACTAGCGTTAATCCTTTTTTGTTTAGATTAATTAATTTGTCTTTGGCCATAGAATTAAAGCATGCTTTATTTTTTTTGGTGAATAAAAGAAAAGAATGGCTAGCACTTAGATGCTTGCTTCTAAGTTACAAGAAGTGGTCTCCTCTTGTATTAGATTAAAAACCTCCGGTGGTGGACTGTGAAAAATCCACTGAGAGTAACCTCGGCCAGCAACGATCCTCGTCAACTTGTCAGTTACCTTATTCGTCTCCCGATTTACATAACGTAAAGTAACATTCCATTCTCGATTTAATAACTCCAAAACTCGGTCAAGAAGAGATAAGAACGAACCTTTTGATTTTCCCCTGTAGCATCTAAATAATCTCCACGCTATCGACTTCTATCATGACTTGTTTTTCCCCACGGTTCCATGCAAGAGAAAGACCTTCATAAATACCTCATAGTTCTATCTCAACGATAGAACATATACTTATTACCTTAGAGAAGCAAACAAGCTAATCACCATTCGAGGATCGGAGAACACCCCCACAAGTCGCAAATCCGTTTCCAGCTTTACGGGACTCATCTGTATTCATCTTACACCAGTTTGGAGGCGGTGGAGACCAAAGAACAGTCCTATTAACCTGCCGATAAGCCTGACTCCTCGGTATAGAAGAAGCAAGTGCACAGTTAGCTTCGAAGCAAAGACGATTGCCTTGTTCCAAAACAGATTCGTGTTCAATATAATCCGGTTCAAAAATCCTTTTATTGCGATTCTTCCATAACAACCAAAGGATCGAACCAAATAATAAGTCTCAATCATGTTCATCTCGTGCATAAAATCGCGGAAAGACAATATTAATTTGCAACCAACTCCTTATGTCTCGTGAAAGAAAATCATGCAATTTATCATCTTTAACTAGCGAGGACCAGATTCCCATAGCCAACAAGCAGTGGCGAAAAAAATGATTTATTGTTTCCCCCGGCTGCCCGCAAACTCCACAATAATTGCTTGTAGTTAAGTGTCGTCTTACTCTCTCCGTATTGGTTAGAAGCCTATCGTTAGCTAATAACCACAAAAACATTTTAATTTTTTTCAAACCACGGTATTTTGAAATCACTTCCCATACCTTGTGTGGCCTGTCATCCGAGCATTCCTGCCTCATATCATATGTCGACTTAACCGTAAAGCACCGGTCAAAATTCCACTTTCACCCCAGCACATCGAGTTTCCTGCACTGCCATAGGGGCATCGTTGCTGCCAGCCTCTGTATAATAGTGCTAGGTAATATATGATTAAACAATTCCCAACGCCAAAGACCATTTGCGTCCACCATTGAAGCTACCGATCGACTTGGGAGTGCCTCTCTATCAGGTTGATTAGTAACAAAGCAATTCAAAGGACCCACATCGCTAAGCCATGCGTCCCTCCAAAAGTCAATATTTCGGCCATCACCAATGCTCCAAACCAGATTATGGTGTACATCACTCCATACTTGAGAAATAAAGCATGCTTTATTAATAACTCTATTTTGTGCCATTAATTATCCAAAGGGTTGCTGTTTATATTTCGAATCAAAGTGGTACTAGTGGTGAACTCGACAGTTTGGACTCCTTTTCAATTTTTATTTTGGTTTAATTATGCCATTGCGCCATACGCTTACCATATTTTTAGTTACTTTATTTCTTATTTAAGAATTTGAAGTATTAAAAATTCTCAACACTTTCATCTAAAATGTTCTCGACTGTCTCTCTACAGTTATTCTTTAAACATGATTTCAGTAAAATCAATCTTGTATTAGAATAGTAATAAACTTTTGATTTTTCTACATTAAATATTAATGAGTACCCCACAAGTTTTGTTCGCTTTTGATTTTTCCCCCTTTCTAGTCAACTTGAATATATATATATACACCGGTTAGAATCTATTTTCACAATGTAAATTATTTTTACTTTTACATAAATTTAATATCTTTCGATGAGTGAAAATAGATGTTTGAGATTGATAAATTTTAAGTTTATATGTCATCATCTTATACATTCTGATATTTTTAATTTTTGAATGTTTTTAGTGTTTTTCTAATATTTTTTGAATATTTCAAGTATTTTTAATTAAGTTTATGGATTTTTAAAAAGAAATTGAAGAAATTTTGTTTTTGTTTTTTAGAGTTATCATTTTGCTCATTTTTAAAATTGAGGGGTCCAAAAGATATTTACACAACTTTTTTTTTATCATTTTTAAATATTCAAGTTGTAAAAGTTTAAATAAAATATTAAATTATTTATCAAATTTTATTTAAAAATAAATGACTCGATTCAATTAACTTGAAAGTTAAAAATAATATTTTTTGAGTTGACTAAAATTTCGCCACCCCTAATTATATGTTCTTATTAAAAGTTTAATTGTTTATTTATTTTATATATATATATTTACTTTTCATATGTAAATTTAATTCTTGTATCAGTTTACATATAAGAAAATGTAAAATATCGAAAATCGATCAAGCTTGTGACATGCTCATTAATATTTGATGTAGAAGATTTGATTATAATTTAAGTTATATTTTTATTTTAATACAATATTAATTTCATTGAAAATACATTTAAAGAATAATAATAAACTCATGTCGACGAGAGACAATCGATATTTTTTTATGATATATATATATTAAATTGTATTTTTTATATATTTATAATTTACCAATTTGTAATTTTTATTTAAATTCTTTAAAAATAGTATTTTATTTTTTGAATATTTTAAATTTTACAAATTTTAATAATTTCTTAAATTATTGCCTTTTTTCTTAAAGATAAAATAAATTTTAGAACTTTCAATTAAAATCAAGTATGATATTGAAGTCGACTAAAAAAACAGCTCAACAATTCTATCATGTCATCATTCACACGTTAATTGTCATATTAATACAACAAATTATCACATCAACATCACTAATTACCATGTCAAAGCCGTAATAATCAACATTGGTCAAATAATAAAATTGATCAATTAAATGATTAATAGAAGTGTTAGAAATTTGTAAACGAAAAAATAACCAAAACGATATCAACATAACATAAGACATGCATATAAGAGAGATTTAATGTGGTTCGGTTTTGCGTAAGTCCACGGGCAAGATGAATAATAATCCACTATAAACGTAGAAAACACGAAGAAGTACAAGTACATGATATCACTTGTATTCCAAAACCCAATATAGACATCAAAACTCGATATAATCTAAAAATTCTTAATATACCGACAAAACTATCTCTAGGGATGGGCATTTAAACCCGACCCGACGGGTTTCGACCCGACTTGACCCGATCGGGTCGGATTTTTTTTAAAAAAAATTGGGTTTGGGTCGAGTCGGGTTTTTTTATGTGGTGTTTGGGTTGGGTTCGGGTTTAGGGTGAAAAAAATCCGACCCGGCCCGACCCAAAAAAAATATATAATTTTACCCCATATATTTAGGGATAATTATAATAATATCCCTCTATATATAATTTTTTTTCAATTAAGTCACTGTTTTTATTGAATAAAAATAATTTTTTTATTATTTTGGGTCGGGTTGGGTCGGATTTCTATATCATATATTCGGGTCGGGTCGAGTCTCGGGTGGAGGCTCTCTTGTTCTCGGGTCGGGTCGGGTGGACCATAAACCCGACCCATGTCCATCTCTAACTATCTCTACAACATAAATCAAAATATGTTGGGATTTCAATTTAAAAAAGTAAAGTCCAACAGATAACATGCGGTTAGAGAATTAGAGGGAGTGAAAATGAAAGCAAAAGCAATGCTATTTCTGTTGGAGTGAATATGATAATGGAATGGGGACCGATGTCCTTAGGACCTTAGCCTTGAGATTGTAACTTGAAAAGGGGAGGGAAAGGACCTTAGAAAGCGTTGGGAGAGGCATGTGAGGGGAGGTGAATACCAACAAAATGGCTAAAATATAGACAGACAGACAGGTTGTAAAACAAATGAAGCTTGCAAAAAGAGAAGGGTAAAGTACATAAATGGTTCTCAACTATAGGATATTGTTTTATTAGGTCTCTCAACTATTAAAAGTTATAAAATTATCCCTCAATTATAGGGTATTATTTTGTTGAATCCTCCGACTATTAAAAGTTACTAAATGGTCTCTCGACTATAAGACGTTACTTTGTTGAGTCATTCTATTATTAAAAGTTACAAAATAATCACATGGCTATTCACATATTCTAAATTAGTCTTTTTCTGTTAAAACTTAGATGATCGCATCAGTTGGATGTTAACCTACTAACTGAGATATGATAAAATCATATTTTAATGATGTCTATCGACACCTTCATTACTTTTAGACACTGTAGACACCCGTTTTTGATCGGGATTAAAAATATATATATATTTATTATATTATTATTATTAATGCTAATAATTTAATAATTTACATATTTTGTAGGCCAGTCCAATTACATAACCATTCAGAATCATTTTCGCCGAACTGCCAAGCCAACATAGAGCCCACCAAATGCCTCTAGAAGCTGTCATCATCTGGCCATCTCAACAAATGTGAGTGGATCAAAATCAAGGTCAACAAAAGATTAAAAGTTTACCTAAACCTTTGAAATAAAGAAAAAATCCCGAAAATTACGGGATTAGGGATACCTGCTTCAGCACTAATCAAAGGAAAAGGTGGATTCGAAACAATTATAAATAGAGGAACTTTCAAAGGGGAAAGGGGGAGCTCATCAACAAGAGGGGAAAAAACACTCATCAAGTGACGGAAATTTCTTAGTTGAAAGAGAGAAATTTGTAAAAGTTTTCCTTATTCTCTTCGACAGAAGTAATACCAAGCAGGATACATCTGAAGGTTTTCAATTTACTTTTCTACTGTATTTTATTTTCTGTTTTTTTATTTAAACTGATTCCAAGGTGAATACGTTTTTGCTTCATTTTTTACAACATTGATAGATAAGCATAAACACTGGTTAAAAGCAGTAACAGAGAACCATAAACCATTCGAAGTAACCAAACAAGCATTAACAATGATATTGTTTTAAAAGAAATTCCATATTTGTTATTTCCAAAAATCTCCTATATTTTGTTTTTTTTAAAAGTATATAGATAATAAAAACACAAAGGAAGAGGGAAAGCGCGATGTTTACCTGA